TTTGCTGTAAGTTGAACTTGTCAAGCACCACCTTTGTTCAGGCTGTGACCAAATCCTGTCTCTTTCAGAATGAATGGGCACCCTAAAGCCTGAATCATTTTTTTATTTGTTTGTTGTTTTGTAAACAAATCTCATGGAAAAATCAACCACTTCCTTACTGTGCCTGTGACTCTGCTCTAAACAAATTTGTCTCTGTTGAAAATATAAATCTTTTAAGACAGGTCACAAATATACAGTAGATGTTTGACTTTACCAAAGGCTAATTTCCTACAAGAGCTGAGCACTCTTTCTTTAAGCACATTTTGCCTAAAGGCTTAAATTGTGCTTTTATTGGGGACTATTTAACTACATGTTTGGTGCTCCAGTGAGTATTTCCAAAAGCAAGATGATGTACTATATGTGGAAATGATTCAATATAAACTGCAGCAACATGTTGTCCAGTGCAACAAGGTGGTTCACTCATGTTTTTTAATAAACAGAGGCCTAGGGCACAGAGGAATAAACTGTATCAGATTTTGGCCACACGTAGAGTATGTTAGTGTCTTTTTATGAGATTTGTTTCTAATAAAAAATAAAGAATGTCACCGGATTTGGCTTTTAAACCTATATTAGTATGTAGAAAGCATGTTTAAATTTTAAAATTCAGTATTTCCAACACAAACTACTGCAACATATTTGCATTTTAAGACATTTTGAGAAAAGAAAAGAAACAAAAATTTCTGTGATGCATGTGCTAGATGTGGAATCGCTCAATATGTCATGCAGGGTGAATGTAACGAAACAGACACTATCAGCATCAAGTGGATGTGCCTTCAATATATAATTGACCATTAACTATAGTGGTCTTAACTTTGAATGGTATCCATAGCAACAAGCATGATTAGGTCTCCCTGAAAAACTAGTGGCTGAGAACATGTCACTTAAGACCCATTATATTAGAAGAGTCCTTTTTTCTCCACTGCCAAGGAACAGAACAGAAGTAGCAGGCTTTTTAAATGACTGAGGAATCATTGGCTTTCAAACACAAACTCAGTCACTTAGTTTAAGATCAAATAGCAAAGTCATATGTAGTCTGCTCCAAAAGAACAATAGGTTCTTTTTCACAGAAATCAAAACCATTTCACTAAAACAACTGGTCCATTTCTCAGGAGCCAAGAAAGTCACAAAATATTAATGCCATCATACTCAATTAAGTGTACTATTTTATATAGCTATAGTTACCCTTTGACAGCCAATAGGACGATAAAATAATGAAAAAAGAGCAATGATAGAAAATAGAAGGAAAGATAGGAAACAAATTCAATAATTATTTTTTATGTATAATAGTAATTCAGTTTGCCTGCCACTCTGGCTGATTGCAATCAGCAAAGGTCCTTTGTCCCTCTATTGGGTCTGAGGCAAATGCTGCTGAAATCTAATTGAACAGCATTTTGTTTTCTCTTCGTGAGGCGGTCCACTTTACTTTTTATTGCTGAGCTGACTAACTGTGCGCATGTGTATGTGTCATCTCTTCTTTTCTCTCAGTCCTTCTCAACCTTTATACCCTGATGCTGCCTTGCCATGCTGCCAGACAGTTTTCTTTGTAAAACTACAAGTCCCCAGTAAATGCTGTCCAAACCATTTCCCTAAGACTCTAATCAACAAAAGATTCCTGGCAAACATTTGTAAAATGGCAACAAAAAGTTAACTTGCTTTTGGTTGAAAAGTTCTGGGCTGCGATTATAAAGCAGAGTCAGTAGTTGGTACTGAGAAAGATAAAGAAAAATATATAAAAGATAACTTTGCTTTATCACACTTTCTGCTCTCTTAGCCAGCTCAGTTAAAGGAAAGCTGTGGTGTTTCAGTATAGGGTCAAGCTTCTGGCCAATAAATACTGCATGCACAATTTAAATCATAATTTGGGTTTATACACATTACTGTCAAAACATAATGTCTTTCAAATGTTACTATACCAAGTGCTGCTTGTAATATAAGAGAGATTAATGACATCTATCTAACCACAGTGGCAAACTGTAACAGTTGTGACAAAGTCATTCAATATAACCATTACAACTAAAATGTCAACAACATCCTGAGGGTTTCTTCTCTCTAAAGAAATTAACACAGAACCCTATAAATCCAGACACTGTAATTAGACAAGGATTCTACTGACTCCTGTAAATTCAGAGGTTATAAGTCTACAGTATTTCCTGTAAGGAGAGGGGCACACTTCCTGTTAGAGTGACAAGGGAGGTCAGAAGTCAAGGAGCAAGTTCAGCAGTCCGTTTCACATCAACACCCATCAGCTTTGTCTCTTTCTCTGAACTTGCTCAGTAATCTGTTTCTGCTGCATTCTTTCTTTTGATTATACTTCAGTTCCTCAAGCCTTCCATTTGATTTTCTGTATTTTATTTCTCTGCACTCTCTTTACGGCTGGTTCCTCCCCTTTCACTTTCTCACTCCATCTCTTGTCGCTCCTCTCACAGTGACATGCTCTCCCCTCAGTCCCTCAAGGCTAACACAGAGCAGGACAAGCCTGACTATATCATCCGTTCACCCTCCCAAATCAAATTACTATGGACAAAACAGAGTAATAAAAAGTAATGGGTTGTTATATGAGGAACACACTCAAAAGCAGAACAAGTCCTGCAGCACACTGATCCACAGAATTCAGTTTCGTTCTGACTTACTTTTTATTGTGATTAGCTGACTTTACAGACCTGAACCACAATACACAGGTAGAGCACATATGTTACATGGAAAAAAGTTATACATATATGAAATGTAGAATATATTACTTTATTTTGGGATAAATGTAATATTTCAGTCTGTCAAAGGTTTTAAATAATTTTATTATAAATTTCCATATAAAAGCAGTAAAAGACTGAGTGCTCTACTTTGGAAAATAGTCACCAGGATCTTACATTTAAATGTCACTCTGTAGAGTTTGTCTTGTAAACAAATACGCGAGGAACACGAGGAACTCACTCTGCAAACGTTCCTTTACAGCGCTACTAGTGGTGGAAAAGCTACACAGAGAAAGTTTTTCTTTAAGGGACAACTTTCCTCAAAACCTTAATGTTTACAATGTTCCACAATTCTATATTCTCTAAAACAATGTCCTTTGTAGTTTGTGAGTTTAGAAGCGAAAGCACTATTCAGTTATATATCTGTCTACTTTTTAACTGTTACCATATGCTCAGAAAAAAAAAGGGTTTCCAATGTGACTCCATAATGCTATTAAGTAAATGTGACAGTGATCTAAATATACAGTATATACACAGTATATACATATATAAGCTAAAATGATTTAAAGGCAATAAGTGATTTAAATGTTAAATTTGGTGACAGCAACACCAAAGGATAGTTACAATGTCTGCATTATGCCAGTTACAATATGGGGGTTCTTAATGACCCGCTTTTGTTAAGGTCCCCCCCGAGGTTGGACTCAAGTTTGCAGACACAGGTGCTAGGGGGGAAAAAATGACAGTTTACTGGTAAAACACAAAATAACAAAAGAACACAACAAAGTCCATGTACTTATACAGTCCGGGTAAAGCAGAGATGGTGGAGGAAATCAGAACAAACAGGTGAATCATGGGACTGATGGAAAAAAAAACCAGGAGAGCGGGAGGATGAGGATGGACAGGTGAGAAAACAAAACAAAAAGAGTGGCGAACGACAAATGCACAGGGACTGTCAGCGTAGAAATCAAAATCACGTATTTTGGGTATACGCTAGTACATTTGGTAATGCTCTGGAGGAAGTCAATCAGGGGATGCACTCCAGCTGTGTGCACCGAAAAACGAATCGCTATTTACGAATGCAACACAGCTGAGGTGCGACTCCCGCAGGTCGAGAGAACAGAGGAGAGAAAGGCGAAGAGAGGCCCTGACAGCTTTATTTAGAGTGTTACACATCTCTTTTCATTGGTACATATACCATTGTTTGCCTATCTATGGAGGAGAAATTCAAAGTAATTAATAATTAATGCCCTCACAGCTGGTTGTGCTGTTCACTTTTGACACAACACCAGCAGCAGGAGTTGTGCACTTTCACAAACTATCCTCTCATTTTTAGGAAGAGGCTCTTTGATTTTATTATTCTGAAATAATTAGGGTTACGCTTTTGAGGTGTTTCTGATGGTGACAGAAGGGTTTTTGACAGGGCTCCTCCCCCCTCTCCTTTAAATAGCTACACCCCTGTCTGAGCTCCTATCTTTCTTGCTCACACTCATATTTGCAGTAAAAATGGCCACAGCTGGTAAAGTAAGTATAAACTTTAATTAATTAATAAACACTTAATTATGCAATGTTTTTGTAAATGTTTTTTATTTTTACCACCTGTGTGTTTATAAGCACACTAAAAATGGGGATAGAAAATAATCAAAACATCAGAATCAGTGTAACTATATTGCATTATACCCATTTACATGACTATTTTTTTGAAATTGTAGTGTGCCCCTGTATTGTCTGCAATTCATATCAATAGTATGAATGTGAGGGTGAGTCAGTGGCTGGAATGTGTAATAGTAAGTTTATATCCGACAGCAGTAGATTACTAGGTACATATCTGTTTACAGATATACATGTTAAAATTCTTTACCTCAATAAAATGTATTGTTATTGTTAATGTTAGCTACATTTAAGGGTGAAATACATCTGTATCTCACTTTCTATCATTCTCTTTTCCCCATTGGCCTCAGTAAAATATCTCATGTTCTGTTCAACTTGGAACACAGTCTGAAACTGTTATGGTTGAGTCCCCTCATCAGGGGGTGAGGGAGAAAGAAAGAGGACTCAAGGTGTAAACGTAGGTGCTAGTGAATTAGTGGGTTTATTGAGGGGGGGGCGCAGGAACCAGAAAACAGGACAGGTGTGGCGCTCGCTATAGGGCTCGCCGTCAGGTATCCACGGCTGGGAAGGTCACCGTTAGATACTCACGGCAGGGAAACTCACCAGAGGTAATCACAGCAGGGGAAGATCGCCAACTGTGTGACCGCATCTAACATAAAACAAGCCACATCTCACCAGTAATATCACCGCTCACACAATCCGTCCTAGCTTCCTCAACATAACATAAACGACGTGAATGTTCTGGCTACAAAGGAGCGTTTGAGTAGTGATGGTTAATCAACGGGGATGAGCGGGAGCTGTGCACCACGCCCGAGAGTCAATGAGCAGGTGAATGCGTCTCAACTGTGAAGCTGAGCCCGCGGGAGAGAAGAGAGAGAGAAGAGAGAGAAAGGAAGGAAGGAAGGAAGGAAGACAGGCAGGTCACACCGAGCGGTCCTGACAGAACCGACTTATTTAACTACTGATAATGACAATGAGGGCCACTAATTCAAGGTACTGTTGCTAATCTGCAGAAATAACTTTAAACTCTTGATTTTCATGTGCTTTTGCCACAAGCGGCTGTAGCAGAAACACTAAAACCATAGTTGTCACCATATAATAAAAAGGCCAATGTGAACCCCATTTGGTTTCTTAATATGATTTTTTTTTTTTGCAGTGTTGCATATCATTCAATTTAGCATTAAAGACATACTCTAGATGAAAGCTTTCCTTGAATTAGCACAGAAAACTGCAACATGATATGTAGTATATTGCCTTTTACAGTACATGTGGAAAGCTGCCAATATATTGCCTTATGTGTTTCCTTATGATGTGCAGTATTGAGTATATAAATGTTTAACTTTCAAAGATGGTTGAAAACTATCTTTTTGTGTAGCTCATCCCAGTGTAGCTTTAATAGTGGTAGCTAGCCCCCATTGATTAATGATTGCTCCCTAGGTCATCAAGTGCAAGGCTGCAGTGTCCTGGGAGCCCAACAAGCCTTTAGTGATTGAAGAGATTGAGGTAGCCCCACCCCAGGTCAATGAGGTCCGGATCAAGGTGAGGCATTCCCACAGTAAAACCACCCTCATGTACAGACATGTTTGTTTTTCTTATCTGTAACTCATTAAATCATCTCTGCAGCAGCCTTTGTCTCAAATTGGTGCAAGATGTACTGTTACATGAAGTGCCCTGCCCTTTCCAGCTCATTAGATTCACTTAGTGATATAATTTTATCTTGTAATGAAAAATACCAGTACAATAAGAAAACATTGCTAATACTGCCAAACCCACTGAGAGTGAAGTCTGAGGGACCCCTCAGTGTTTTTCATTGTGTTCATTATTTTTGGTGCAGATTGTGGCAGCTGCAGTTTGCCGTTCAGATCTTTACCAACTTCTGGAGGCTATGCCTAAAGACGATTTCCCAACAATCCTCGGCCATGAGGCGGCTGGCATTGTAGAGAGCGTTGGGCCAGGAGTCACCGAATTTCAGCCAGGTCAAACTTCTGTTGTGCCAAATACACTTACTTGCAGTCAGATAAGAATTAGCCTTGTGTCTGTATGTTGACTATGAAGCCAGGACATGTTTAGCATGCAAACATCTAGCCTGTCTGTATCTAACACTGAGAAATGCAGATGACGCCACCATTCTACATGTGACATGGGTCAGATGTCAGACATCAGATTACAGAATGATATTGTCCCATGCCTTACATGTAAAAATTTCAAAATGCCTTCTAGTCTGTAAGTGCAACAGACTGAATTAGACTGCCTCATAGTCCTTCAGAGTGGTTCTACAATTCAGTCACTTGGACTTGTAGCATGCCCCATTGGCAGCGATCAGTAAGCTAAGCTTATGAATAAAAATGAAGGATGGCACTAGTGATCAGTTTATGTAAAATTCATCAGTCACATTGTTTTTTTTTTTTTCAGGTGACAAGGTGATTCCTGTTTTCCTCTCCCAGTGTCGAGAATGTCGCTTTTGTAAGAGTCCCAAAACCAACCAGTGTGAAAAGTCATGGTGAGTGTCTATAACAAAGAGTTTAGATCTTTGTTTTTTGATTTTAACTTTTTAAACACATAACGAGTATTCAGTGAATACTTGTTTTAGATTTTTTTTTTTAAATCAAAATCTTATGTCATTCAGGTTCAATGTTCAACATGATGGGAGCGAGAGCAGGTTTACCTGTAAGGGGAAGAAGTTGCTGCCCTTTATTGGAACCAGTACCTTCTCCGAGTACACAGTGGTTAACCAGATTGCTGTGGCAAAGATCGACCCCGCTGCCCCTCTGGACAAAGTCTGTCTCCTCGGCTGTGGGATTTGCACTGGTTATGGAGCAGCAGTCAATACTGCTAAGGTGTGTATGCTGATTAATACCACACTGCAACAACAATATGGGGCATTTTATGTTCTGTCCCTATAATTTGGCACTTTTGGTGACTTAAGAGAGGAATTCTGTCAATTAAATTCCCAAAAACGGAAAGCTTCTTAAGAGTAATCATGAGTGTTATGAGACTCAAACCTCCCCATCTTTTTTTTTTTTTTTAAGTATTAAGTAGTCCAACCTAAAGTACTATGTGGAGTCTTTGTCATTTTAGGTGGAACCAGGCTCCACATGTGCTGTGTTTGGCCTGGGAGCTGTGGGTTTGGCTGCAGTCATGGGCTGCAAGGCTGCAGGAGCCAAGAAGATCATTGCAGTTGACATCAATCCAGAGAAGTTTGAGAAGGCCAAGGTGTTCGGTGCGACCGACTTTGTGAACCCTAAGGATCATGATAAACCCATCAGCCAAGTGCTGGCAGAGATGACCAATGGAGGAGTGGACTACTCACTGGAATGTACTGGGAATGTGGGAGTCATGGTGAGGTGGATTTCATTTAGTCGGGACATGTATCTTGCCTATTAAAATATTAACCTAATCAAAGTCAACTGAGCTTGTGTGCTCCTTTCTATCATTTTTACTGAAAAAGTGTCTTTGTTAAGTTAATTTAGCCTGCCATCATTTCTTTAGCCAGTCCAGACTTTTGGGCCTGCATCCTTCTGTTACAAGCTCACTGACTTTGTGTTTCTTTCCCAAAATGAATTGTGTCTAACATTTAAAGCCCACTTTTTACCAGCCACTCAGCCTTTTGAACCACTCATTGACATTGACTCATTTCTCCATCTAGCGCAGTGCCTTGGAGTCTTGTATACAGGCTTGGGGTGTCAGTGTGATAGTTGGCTGGACAGAGTTGCATGATGTTGCTACCCGGCCCGTTCAACTCGTCAAAGGACGCACATGGAAGGGCTCCCATTTTGGAGGTGAGACTATGTCAGTCATCACTGACTAATGAATCTCTGGAAATTAAATGGCTTTGGACACATGTTCTTCACTTCTTTAGCTAGTTGTATTCTAGATAAGACTCTGCTCTTATTTTGTGATTATTTTGTGGCCTAGGCTTCAAGAGCAAGGATGGTGTGTCTGAGATGGTTAAAGCCTACCTGGACAAGAAGGTGAAGGTGGATGAGTTTATCACTCACAACATGACTTTGGACCAGATTAATGATGCCATTGAACTGATGAAGCACAGCAAATGGTAGCTTTACACTTCTACTTTCTTCATTATTAATGATTCAACAACATTGATACATTATTAAAATGGTTCATATCTGATTAGTTCTTTTTCTTTTTTTTTTGTTCCACAGCATCCGGACAGTCCTGAACATTTCTCCAGAATAAATTGCTATTTTGCAGGCAGCAGTTTTGACAAAAGGTGGCTGATAAGTGATTGGGAGCGCCTTGGTGCCTTGTTTTGGCATGTTTTGGTATGCGTTTTTTGTTTGCAGGCAGAAGTTTTGGCAAAAGGTGGCTGATGAGTGATTGGGAGCGCCTTGGTGCTTTGTTTTGGCATGTTTTGGTATGCGTTTTTTGTTTGCAGGCAGAAGTTTTGGCAAAAGGTGGCTGATGAGTGATTGGGAGCACCTGGCCGCTGCTCTTAAGTACATAAAGCTCTGCCAGCCTCCGACTTGGTGTGCTTGTTTCCATACCATGCATCATGTTGTGTCGAGTCAACTTTCTGATTTTGCTTTATACCTACAACACGTGTGAATTCATACATTTCTTACACTACTTGTACTGACTCAGCATCTCATTCTTGCCTTTTTATTGTTCAATTTAATAAACACTGGTTAAATGTTTTTATTCCAGTAGTGTGTCTTCCTCCTTTATGTTGTGGACTTTGAGTCAGTCATGACAAAATCAACTTAAACGCTCTCCAGCCAGTAGATGTTTAAGTTGCCTTCTCACAGTGTTGTCCACAGCTGTTTTACATGAAAAGCATCTCTTTCAGTTAATTAAATCTGCCTGCAGTGAACTGAAGGGAACAGGACATGCTCATAAATCTGCAGTTGCCAGTGTGAGAAGTGTTGCATCAGAGCTCAGTGCTGTTATGCAAAGTGCCATTGTGTTTACCTTGATTAATTAAATCACATGCAAGTGAGACAAGCCTGTTAAAAAACAACACCCCACAACCTTACTCAGACTGGGTGGTTAGAATGCTACATGTTTATAAATGAGACATCAGATCATTGGGGCTCATTAATACAGTGCATCATGACCTTCCTATATCCACCCTTCTAATATCTATACAGCTTATTCCTGAATAAGGTTAAGGGGGACTGGAGCCAATCCCAGCTGACATTGGAGAAGAGGCAGGGTCCACCCTGGACAGGTCGCTAGTCTATCACAGGGCTGAAATGTAGACAAACAACAACACACATTTACTCCTAGGAGCAATTTACCCAGTCACCAGTCAACCTATGCTGCATGTCTTTGGACTGTGGGAGGAAGCCGGAGAACCCACGCAGGCACAGGGAGAACATGCAGACTCCACACAGAAAGGCCCCAGGTTGGCTGGGACTTGAACCCGGAACCTTCTTGCTTTGAGACAACAGCACTAATCACTGTTCCACCATCATGACCTTCTTTCCATTTCTATTTTTTCTTTTTTTTGCAGTTTTTTCAGTTTCATATATTATTCTTGAAATGCATTTTGACACAAACAATATGATGTGAAAATTTACCACAGAACAAGAATTAGATTTTGACTTATGTCGTGGCTAGAATGCGATAATGACTAAATTAATTTCAGAAAAATCATCCCAATTTAAGTAATCATTTAATAATAATTATTATTATTCTATAATTATTCTGAACAGTAGTAGTTAAATAGGTAATCTGGTAGTTAAGGAACAGAGAACAGAATCACTCCTCCTGCAATGGAATAGATAAAGTATTAAATAAGAAGATTGTCACAGAGTCAGTCAGTCTTGGGTCTCTCCTCCTCCTGGGCACCATCACGTACACGACATCTCCTGCTCTCACCCTGGACTCTCCATCCTCCTGGGCGTCTCTCTTCTGCAAAGGGGAAACACAAACAACACGGACCACACAGGAACAAATGCTCCTGCACATAGTATTGTCTAGTATAACATAAAATCTCATTTCCTTATCAGGATGTCAAAACTGGTATTAACATCACAAAATAGCACTCTATAGACCACATGTAAACCCACACCTGTCTCTTGTTAGGGTGATTTTTATTTTTAAGTAGATATGAATAAAATTAGTTAGGGTTTTTATTATATAGCATACGTAAGTCTATACACTTTAATCTCACAGTTATGTTTATGTAGTTACATATCACCCTATGTGTTCACTGAATCACTGGTCAATATTTATAGTGTTAGCCAACTGGAGCACTGTTTAACATCAAAGGGACTGGTTCACTAAAACACTGAATCTCATTAGATTTACAGCTTTGGCAAAGAGGGTCCACAGTTACTTTACTATCACCACCCGGCAGATGAGTCCAGGGGAATTAGGGTTCACTGGGACACTATGGTTAGTAAACAGAGATTGGATCTGAAGCCAGGACGAGGAGAAAACTTCAAAGGTAGAACCATATGCACACACACACACACACACACACAGGCAGAGCAGTTTTAATTGGAACCGGAAAGTAATGCCTAA